AAAGGCGAATTTTTCCCTCCGGACTTCTTTGGAAACGACTTTATTGTAGAGCGGAGTCGTAAATTAGGTTGCGGCACACTTCAAGGGATCGTAAAACGGGAATGTGACAGATAAGGACGACATTTACTTTTCAAAACGACGTTATGAATATTCTTTTTCCAAAAAAAAACAACTCGTTTAATTGCACAAGGATTAGATTTAGATACCTATTATTTTGTTTGCATGTGTAAAGCAAAGCAAAGCGAACCAAAGCGCTGTGGAGAGATAAAATATTTTCAACCAATGAGCTAACATGCACGCGAGTAATTAAATTTTATACAAGGACATAGATTTTTTTTTGTTAGGAGGGGGTAATATGCTGATGAAATACTAGATAGTTTATAAAAATGTAATTTTTAGATGGTGCAAAAAATTAAATACAAATGTATACGTGCTTGCTTGGATAATACAAGGGAGCAATATTTTAAAGGAAACAAAGAAGACCATAGAAAATATACCGAAGTTAAAACAAAGTCGTGACGGACCCGTTAAAATAACGGGCTCGCCTTATTACAATTAATGCGAAGTTATTATAGAAAATATAGTTTATCATAAAAGACGAATTCTCCGCCGACCGACGATAATAATAATAACAATAACGTAAAATAATTCGTCTTGGCGAATTATTAGCGTGATGCAATTAGGAATAGGAATTCAAATAAATTACGAAAGTTAATAAAGTTGTTCGAATGGAGAATTCGTAATTTCGTCGTTAAAATTTTATATGTTTACATAAAGTCGAACGGCATCGGACAAAAATGACCTGTTGAAAGTTTTATAGCGATATTTACGACGAAAAAAATTGCAAGTAGGTTCAAAAATATTTATAGAAATCCTTATAGCAGATAGATAAATTTATATAGGTAGATAAGTCTACAATTTTTATAATAATTATTATATTTACTTTATTGACATACTATTATAACTATTGATTTGTTACTTAAAACTTGATTAGCAGATTGAATAAGTACTGCATTAATATAAGTGCCAACCTATACCAAGGTAAGTATTGAAGGTACCCTATCCATTCAGACCCAACGAAAACCCAGTATACCATAATTGGTGACCGAGATACCCAGTAGCAACTCGATTATTACGAGATTGGTACACCTATGTGACTCCCACCACAACGAATATAACCAGTAGCAACCCAGCGGGGTGTCGGTATAAAAACCGGTAGCCGACCGGAATTAGTGCCGTTACACCGGCGGTACTATTTGAGAGCGGGCGCGAGTTACAGCGCATATAACCGCCCTAATTCTTACCCACCGGCGTTACTCGTTCGAACCGAAATTAGTGGCTTACTAACTGGTCGTTAGTCTTTAAATTGATTAGGTATATACTCGAACACTGTATAGTATTAACGTTTGTTTTCAGAAGTGGGATAAATTATACATACTCCATGTTATTAAAAAAATAAAAACACACACACACGCTAGCGCTAGCCCTTTAAGTAGGTAGGTAGGTGGTTATTTTGATCGATATTTGCAGTACCTATTGATTGCTGGTATGTGGGCATGTCATTTATTTATGCATATATTCATGAGATGATTCACCCCGCTAAAGAGAAAAAGAAATTTCCGAGCGGAAGGTGGAGCCATCCTCAAAATCCGGGCGAATGGCATTTCGCAACCTCGCGCCGAGATCGTTTCGAAAATAATAGAAATCTCCGGTCGAATCTCTCTTTTTCTCCGGCCGGAGTGAATAATAGCTCAGACGACGTTGAATATCAATGAACTTTCAACAATGAGAGGCGGATATCGTCATTGATTATATTAGCATAAATATATGTTGTATTGTCGGGCTTTTGTGCGGCGGTCCGGCCGGTGACATTTCGAAGGGAGCGTTCGTTTCGTTTACGCTCTCAACTCGCTCGATCAGATAAAATTATTTAGCGGTTTTTTTTATTAATATTATTTTTTTTGGCTACGTCGGTTCTATGTCATCGAGTTTCGATGCGTTTCGGTCCGGCCCCTCGTGTAATATCTATACGAGGTTTTGTACCGATGAAAATTAATTTTATACGTATAGGTATATACAATGCTACTTACATAGGTGCTTCAATTATACAGATTTTTTTAAGATTCTGTAAAAAAAATCCAGCTGAAATAGCGAAAAGTTAATCACAATCAAAAGTTCAAAATTCCTAGATGCGTACTACTTAATGCAGATCTCTCTATTATTCGCATCAGCAATGTTTATTTTAAATATAGCAGAGGCGTGTGGGCATTGTAGGTAATCCATATTGGGATAGGTCTGTTATATGTTATCTTAGGTTATACATTATGTACTCGGCAATATGGGTAAAAGTCGAGCTCGTGAAGCAATCGGGATACTACATCAAATACCCGTTATATTTTTAATAACAGTTCAATTTAATAGTTCAACTCTGCAATCAGAGTTCAATGCAGTTTTGGCAAAATTTCATTGTTTTAATTAACAATGAACCATATTTCTACTGATATTTCGCATTTTTTAATAATTAAGTACCTAATTCTGTTTATTTGACAAAATTTACCATTAGTTCATTCAATAGCAAAATACCTAAATTGTCTCTTTTTTTACAATATTTTAACTGATATTCATTTTGATTTTACCCGAATTTTCCAACAAAATTTCTATTATTTTATTCACAATTCAACAAATTGAAATCTTCTCTTCAAAACACCAAGTTTGAAACATAGCAAACAACTCTTTATACTTTCGTATCGCATAAACAACTGAATAAAATTTACAAAGTTCCACAAACAAAATGAAAAAAATTAATACGCGCGCGAGTAAACAAGTGTTGTTTCGCACGATTCGTGCGTTGCGTCGTGGAAAAGAGGTAGAGGGAACGAGAACGGCACACCATCATCATCAGCAACATCAACATCACCATGGCAGGCACTGCAGCAGCTCCTTTCACTCTATGAGGAATCCCGCAATCGGTGGCAAAATCCACTTATATTGATATAGGCGCCACTTTTGTAGCATCTCCAGCGACTCGGCGAGATAACGCTCTGGTGCTCTCTCTGGTGAAGTGCGGGCAAGGAAGCGCGTGTGTGTTCTCTGTTGTTTGCCGTCTTTTAGTGACATTTATTCGTGACAATTATTAGATATTGTTTCGATTTGATATTTATTTGCAACATAAATTAATCCACCGGTTTTTATTAACATGTAAGTTTTAATTAAATCTTTTAGGTATTTTAATTTTATATTGAAATTTAATGGATTATAAAACTATATATTAATATTTAATATAAATTGATTAAATTTAAAAGTGAATTATAATCGTTCGAGATTGATTTAGTGTTTTAAATATTTTGATTTAAATATAAGTTTGTCATATAGAGGTAATTTTGAAAATTCAACATACTTTATAATTCTTATAGATAATAATTTCTTCGATAAATTAAAAAAAAATCCTAAATTTTTTCTACACCCTTTAAGATGTTAGGTGATAATAATTTTTGAAAACTCTTCTGTATATTTTTTAAAGTTTGGAAGGGGTGTCCTTTGAAGTTTTCCGAAGGAATTTCCTTACTTACTTTAGCATCAATAAAAAATTGGAAACTCTCATTTTTATCTAAATCGGCATCTAAAAAGTAATTTAATCATTCACTTAAATTAATCATTTTTTATCTAATTTATCAAGTAAGTAGATATGTGAATAATCATGCAATAAGTAATAATTCATTAGTTTTGTTACTTGTTTAATGAAAGTGAAATCGTAAACAATTTTTCCGATTACTTGTAAACGTTTACGCTTTCAGAAATAACTCCGCAATCTATTCGTTATTTCTTAATTAACTTTTAATATATTTTAATAATTACCGTCGTTATTAAAATGTACGCTCATTTACTTTCCAGCCAATACCAGTCGTTGGTTTTATTCGAAATAATTAACAAGCGCGTTCAAAAATATAATGGAGGTATTGTGTAGGTATATAATTAAGTGTTTTTTTAAATTTTCCATTTATAATGTTTCAATTTGTTGATAATACCGAGCAAATAAAAATTTATGTTCGCCTGTTCCAGTTGATTATATTAAAATTTAGAAATTTGAAGGGAAGAAAGAAAATGAATTTCATAACACTTGCCAATATCTGACCGATTTTATTGAACTATTAAAGTAAATTAACTATACATACAATTTTTCTTGTCGAGCATTAACATTTTATTCATCAATATTTATTTTATTTTATTCACTGGCAATTTTCGCATATCTACCGATGGTCACGACTCGTCGATAATCGTGAGTAATTATTAAATGCAAATTTTCCGTATTTTTTTATTCTATCTAGGTACTTTGCATTCGTGCTTAGTGACCTCCCAAGCGCCGATAAAACGGAGGCGATTTGAATTTCCAATTCTAGTGCATAAAATCATCGGATTATAATCCTAAACTAGCCGGATTTTTCCCATTTTATCGAATGTAAATCCGTAAAATTAATTTCCTCGCCTGTAAATGGGCAATAAATATAACTATTTTAAACAGACCATATAAAAGCTTTCTGTGCATCATAATCATTCTGAAGGTGTAACTGGAACTTAGGTATATTATCATCACATAATGTTTCTTCAATACCTATATTGACAAAAGGTAGAGAGAGTCATTAAACATAATTTAATATTATATTTGATATTAATTTTTTTATTTAGTTTTGATACTTGTACCATATAATGATATTTATAAATACTAGTTAGTAACTATTTTCATCAAGGACCTTCAAGGGAATGTACTATGCAAATGCAAATAAAAGTGAAATATTTATACCATAATACTTACTTACGCATGGTTTCATAAGCAACAAGAATTTCGTTATTAAGGTTAAAATGCAAAATTAAAACCTTCTGGAGATTCGCTCATAAAGTTTATATAAAATCGTTACGAAACGTTCAAGTCGCAATTTAAATTAACCTTTTATATGACTCACACACGCGCATTATCATTGTTAAAAAAGAACTTTCTTTTTCAGATCGATCTCCCACGCACCTGCAGATCTCCACGCCGCATGATTTCCCATTAATCGGCCGATTAATCACTATTACAATCGATTAATAATAGAACAAATAACGCACGGTAGGCTGCAACCCGAAAACCCGATTACGTGTACCCATATCCTAGCTGGCTCATCGTTCCGCGGATAATTAACAATAGGAATTAGATAAGCCGTATAATATACTGTTTTCCCGATTTTATCTCCGACAGCAGTAAAGATAAAAACGCCGAGATGTTCGCGATAATGCAGATAGACAACGACGTCAGCGGCGGCCAGTTCAGGAGGAAAATGCGGTCCAAGTGCGAATTCGTGTGCAAATATTGCCAAAGGAGGTTCACCAAGCCCTACAATCTCATGATACACGAGAGGACGCACAAAAGCCCCGAGGTCACGTTCAGCTGCGAGATATGCGGCAAGAGCTTCAAACGGCAGGACAATCTCAAACAGCATAGGTAAGACAATTGTGATGGTTTAAATATTCGTTACAATTTATTATTGATACATTATCCTGTAAATCAGGATGTACAACTCTTGTGTATAACACACTGAAAACTATTTACTTATTTAAATATCGAAAAATTTAAATATTTGTCGATTTTTGAATTATCTACAAGATTATTTTATTTACACACAAAGTTATTAGTTTGCTCTCTATTTCTTCTCTTATTGCCTAAATTTAGCGTTATTTCTTCTTCTATATATACATTTCAATTTTATCCAATATTGCAAATTTTCTGCTACATTATTTTGATAATTCTCTTATAGATTACTTTTTGACTTCAAGTAATTTATAATTATAATTTTGGGCCGTTAAAAATATAATTTTTAACCTCCGAAAAGCGAGTTAATTTCACAGATGAAAATCCAGACGAAGAAAAGCCCGCTAAACGGCTGGTTAAAAACCTATAAAGAACGTTCAATCAGCGTCGAATAAAAGCTCGCGCTTTCCAAGTAACGCTTTTACGACCCAGATTTAGTTTATTTTTTTCCTTTTTCCGCTTTCAGTTGGCCACCTTTTGTCGCCGACCGGCGCGAATTAGTCACAGAAAATTAAAACTGTTTCTACTATTGCCAAATAATTGGAGACAGTAAATTTTTGAGAATAAATTTCGGTATAGACAAGCAACAGACCATACGAAATCGGGTTTATCGCTTATCATAAACCGCGTTTCAGCACTTCGTACCAACTTTTATGCGACGCTCGCAGGAGATGCAAAATATGCTAATAAAAAATCACTGCAATATTGTATTAATATAACAATAATTTGTATTCTTTATACTCCCTCCGACTGCATCCCTGATGTTAGAAAAAAATTTAATACGTCTCTGTTAAAAGGAGATTCCTCAAATTACGAAAACAAAAATTTATTTTTTAAAATATAGGAAGATAAATCAGTGTATATACACTCCGTATGAATAATTATGGTAATAAAATAATATTGTAGATAATGATTAAATATTTTAAATAGGTACCTACATTACTAGTCAGAGTTATTTATTACACAAAATTTATTTCATAACTGTGAGATTTGTTTTAAACGAATAATGCGAAATATATCCTTCCTTATCTTGTAAATACTGACAAATAGATTGCAATTTTCTGGATAAAACTATACATTAACTTATGGAAGTTTGTACATAATTACCTAATTTTTACCTATTATTTTAGATGTAATCAGTGCTATTGGAGGTAAAGGGCTCCTCTGGTGAAAAAGGGCTAACCCGGTCCTGTCTTAATTTTATAAAATGTAAGACGTTCTTTTTAACACTATTTTATTAATATCATACTAATTACTTCAAACTGTAACAGTGAGAGATCACTATTTTACTAATCACTATTATATGTCGGATTCAAATTGTTTATTTGCTTAAAATCCAGTTCTGCTTAAATTATTTTTTAAGCTGGATTTTCATTCTGTAACAAACTAACATTTCATGTATCTAGTATTTCTTGCAGTCTGTTAAATGGAGAAAATTCAAACACGCAACTACAGATAAATGCTAGAACCCATCAGGACATGTTTTGAACTTGTTGTGTTAACTTTAACAGACTGTGATCAGTTTTTAGAACCACGTAGCACGAGTTTTGTAAAATCAGACCATTTTAAAAATGGGAATTAAGATATTTTCGTATAAAGTTTGGAATTGAGATAAGTTCTGTCCTGCACTCGGTGCAAAAGTAATTCCCATTCTTAAGATGATCAATCTCTAATTTATCAATCATTTTTTCGAATTGTTTTTATTTGTTTTTAATTGTATTTTTTTTGTTTTTAGGAGCATACACTATCCCGCAAATACAGCATACAATTGTTTCAGTAGCAGATATTAGTGTTAAAATAGTTTCTTTAAAAAACATCGCAGTATTTATTAATTTTTTTATATAAATTTCTTTCTCTTATTGTATGTACATATTTTAGCGTTTAGAGACCTATTTATTATTAAATATACCTATTATTAATTAGTTTAAGTGAAGACTACCGTTGTCTAGTCTGAAAATTGTATTCTTTGAATTTTTAATAATTTTATGTAGAACCGTAAATTATAGGTACCTAACCCATGATGATTGTATTGAATACAATTTGTGATTTTTTTCGAAGAGTGAGATCTTCTGTCAAATCCGATTTGTTGATTAGAAATTCAATTTCTTATAATTATGTAATTCGAATATGAAAAACTCACTCTTTTGTATTGATTAAAATAATATTATCTATAATAAACTAGTGCAATTTAAATTAAAATTACTGTAAAGGTAATTGAGAAACTGCGCACTTTTCGTGCCACTGCGAAAAGCTCGACAGTTTTCCTTTAATACCGCCGACAACAAAAATTGTAATAACAATGTCTGTGCCTAATCGAATGTAAAATACATAAATTAATTTAATAAATAATTGAGTAAATATTTAAATTTGTGTTTGATTTTAGAAAATTATACTTTTATGTTTTATAAATTGTTTTGTGAGAATTTTGCATTTTCTAAAGATATATTTTTCGTCATTTTTGTGATTTTAAAATGATATGTGTTTGTTTCAAATTTTTTGATTAGTAATTGTATAGATAAACTTAATTGAAATATAGAACATGAATCATGATACTCTCTATAATCAAAAAAGAAATGATAAAAAAATTCTGAAAAATCTTTAAAAAATCTCTTCAAAATCATTTAAAGAAAACATCTCTTAAAATCAAATGAACCCTCAAAAACAGCCAAAATTATTCAAGAAACATCGCAGTATTTATTAATTTATAACACAGAAAAAATCATTCAGTCCACAGTAGATTCTTATACATATGTTCACAAAGATTTTTATGCAATAAATTTTACGAAACTTGTATAAGTTTTTCGTGAGATCCGAGCGAAAAAGCAACCGGACTTTTCCCGCGACGGAGCCGCACATGAATGGAAGTCGTCGGAGGTAGGAGCGCTATCCGGAGACTCGTCTCCGGAGCGCCCGAGGCGGCGAGCTCGGCGAAGAAGGCGCTGCCGCGACGGCGAAGCGAACGTTGTGAACCGGGCGCACGTCGCATTCTCACACCCGCACGCTTTCTACACCGTCGGGTTCCGATCGGCCGGACTCCGCTCGGCGGCAGGATCCTTTTCCAAATGGAAATTCCTGGGCGGAAAACGCTGTCCCATCGGGGAAATATTTTCACTCTTCTATCATGTTGGTTTTATGAAGCAGAATCGCCCCTTAAATTTTTTGTTCGCCAAAAGAGTTATCAAAAAATCTTGCAAAAACCATTCAATTCACAAAAAAAAACCATAAAAAATCGTATTCTCATAATAATTATTTTTCGGAGAAATTTCTTTTATTTTTATCGACCTCCTTTTTTACGAGTAACAACGTCGTTTTCATCGGAACAATTGGCTGTTCATCTCGCCGGTTTTCCTACTATGAATAGGATGTAAATCGTATCCCAAAACAAAGGACTAATCACGATTTATAAAAACCAACAGCACGCCCATCGATATAAAAAAATAAGGAAAAATAAAATATTTCGTGCGTTGTGTGAGAAACTCCCGACGGTGATTCATTCTCTTCTTCGGCGGTTTGCTAAATAAATCGTGATGCAGACATCCGTTTTCGATTGAAGGAAACCTCCGTGTTAATCAGTTATACTTTACCTATTAATAACTACATCGAAAATCCGCTAATAAAACGTCAATCCTTTGAATTTATCGCTCGGTTATACAACGCATTCGTTTATTTATTTATTTAGAAACCAGTAGTTGCATGCATGAATTAACGTTACGAGAATGCACATTACGTAATTCGGTGGGTGCATTCATTTAAATTACCGACATTTTATGAATCATATTTGTTATATGGTAATTCTCGAGTTTTTGAAAGCCTCTCGAGCATACATATGTATGGGAAACTGCTATAGGTCACCACCTACAGCGTATACGATTTACAAATCGTTCTACAGCTTGTACAAAATTACCGAAATTCACAGTTTCAGTTTCATTTTAATTTTATTTAATTAGTAGATAGGTATATTAAAAAATTAGATCATTTACTCGATTGAATTATGATATGATGATGAAGCTTTAAAAATCATCCCTTAGCTAAGAAATTAACAGGTAAAGAAAACTTAAGTAATATAAAGTTTTGAGTGTTGAAATACATTTCTTTGTGAACCACAAATTCCCGTTAGGTCTGCAACGACTAAAATAATACGTAATGTTTACAACCGAAAAAAACCGACGGCGCATTAAAATAATTATAATCGGAATTGCGAAAAACTATCATTACAATTGCGAGATTCGCATGAGCCCGTCAATACAGAAATATTCTCAACACGTTTTTCGAAATACCCAGTAGTTTATGCTACTGAAAAACGTTTTTTATTTCTCACGATTTCAACCCACTTTTCTCCTTGCGGTCTTGTTTACCTCGTTAAACGCACAACCGGCTACTTAAATGACGGCTTTTTCCCGGACAGGCCCGTCGTAGATTGCATTATTTGAATGTTTCTATATTCAATTGCTCTGTTATATTCAGGAAAACCGTTTATTCCTCCGAAGAAATATATCAACTTCATTTTGTTCAGGTTCCTTTCGTTGGGTTTTCTAGCTATTTTTGAAAATTTCGAGAACATTGTAGATGAATATGTTTTTTACCAATTAAGAATATTTTTCTACGATTCTCTCGTATATCAATACTTCGAGTATAAAGCTTCTAGACCAATCTAAAAAGGAATAAATGTATATCCAAATAAAAACCTCTTTAACTCATAGAATGCTATGTTATATAACTAAATATCGATTAAAAGAAACAGAATTTTGCGAATATATTACAAAAAATTGCACCATACTCTTACAAAAGTTAACTACTTTTTTTTATAAAACCATATGGTTACTAAGAGAGTTGTCTTCATTTGAAAATGGCTGGTAAATTAGTAAATGTGAGAATATCGCTAGATATTCTATAGACGTCCCATAGGTACAGATTGCATGGTTATGGGTGAGATATGGGCCACATACGGTTCTGGCCGGTCGCGTTAGCGTGAATCGTTTCCACAAAGCAAACAGGTATTTTGCATAAACGCTCGGCATCGGCGGATTTTTGCATTGAGGGAAAAAGCTTTTATCATGATTTATAAAAAGGCTTCCGCATTGTCAGTTAATTTCGCGGCATTAAAGAGAACTCGAAACGCTCTGGGGTTACCCGAATTGCCTAGAGCTTCCTGAATTCTCCCGAAGTCGTGTTCTAGTTCCCAGCCCACTGCGATCACGACGTGACCTTTTCATTTACGAACTTGATTGTACTCTCATCACATCCGAGCGAAACTTTTGCGCAGTCTTCGTGTTCCTTTCCACATCTCGGACGCGGCACGGGGGAATTTATGTATTTTAAAGATGTCCAATATTCCCGTTTTTTTCTTTTCATTTCCAATTTTCATAGTCCCTAAATTTATTACCTATAAATTTCGATAGTTGCACAGACGAATTTCGAATCGAATCCGACCAATGACGACGTAATAACATAATCTGATAATCAAAGACAAGGATAACTCGATAACAATATGGGCATTTAGTAGAAATCACGATCCCCGCGGCTCGCCCAGATACAATGCTCTTTAATGGACGGACTTCACACTGTTTCAGAAATGTGCCCATTCATTCGAGCCCGTTCGTCATTATTAGATTAAACGATCCGGTATTTCATTGTGCTGCGCCAGGAATTTTCGGAATTTTTCTCGGTATCGACAAAGTGTTGTTCGGCATTTCGATTGTCGATCGAATTGAACCCGCCAATGGGCGTTTAAAGGTAGGTATAGAGAAAGGTAGGGTAGGCGATGTACTATGCAAAGGAAACCTAATTATGTTCAAAGGTGGCCCCAGGAACATGGACAATCTAGCAATTATACTAGAAATGACATAACAAAACTGACAACTGACAATTGACTTACAAAGGGTGAAGTATAATATATTTATGACAAAGCACGGAATAAAGCCAAATACTAATAATAAGTTTAAATTATAGTACACAGTGTCTAACTGTACACTTGAATTCCGCACCAAATTAATAATCTTTTTATAGAGAGTAGAGTAGAATAGTGTGGGGAATTCCTGCGTGTAGTGCAGGAAAATTTAGGTACAAACTCGCTAGTAGTTCCGCTACACTCCACATCAGAGTTTTGCTTTCACTGTTCAAGAGAAAATCCACTGGTTCTGCCTTAATTTAATCGAGACGATTTAGAAGATAAGAAGTACCTAAATTATTTATATGAGAAATTAAAGGAAACATTTCGATAGCCGAAGTTACGTCATAATTTTCGTGGTGCACCAATCATCGTCCGGCCGAAGATAACACGGAGACGTTGTCTGTGTGTGGCAGTGGTTTATGGATATTCGGAGTGCCATGATTTAATGCCGCGAACGTTTTATGTTCAACCTACGCGCACCATCTTCCATGGCCTTATTTATGGGCAGCTTCGGTTGTTTTAAAATTGTCAAGTCTTCGCCAGCTCATTTGAAGCCATCAACGCGCTTACTTCTTCTCTCGTGTGTGTTTTTTTCACATGATGAGGGCGATTTTTATTCGACGGTTTACCCGTTTTATCATACCTACTTTAGAGAGTTCTTTAAACGATATGGTGATTAAACAATGATGCTATTCAAAATTTTGTACTAAAAAAAATTAACGAAATCGATAAAAAAATTACAGCGCATTATAATCTAAATGATATTGATTAACACATTTGAATCGAGCACTTCAGGTACGGTCGAAGGAAATAAACCGAACCCGCTGAAAATTTACGACTGTCGTCCATCTGATAGCATCAGCAGAAGGTGTCGGACTCGCTGGTGGGTCGTCTTATTTAACATTTTATGGGATACAGTACAATAAAGGTGTTCGAAATTAGTTTTCCAGATAAAGTTTCTGTTAGTTCACAGTTACTAATAGCATTAGGTTGTTTGCCGTAGAGATACCTACCTGTTCAATTGATTTGTCCCAAGTAAGTGGATATTAATCAACCGGTCCCGGGAATTTCTGTAAATTCGTGCGATAAATTTCTGGTTTTTCGGATTCGTTTATCGCCTTTTTACGGCCGATATCCGGTAATAAATGGTGGCCAGCCGAAGACTATACCAATACTAAATGATAAATAAAATTATGTTCACGCTAATATATCTAGCGATGACATAACTTTTAATTACTGGAAACAGTGTATATTTCTAAACAGGATCTATTATTAATACTTGCTCGCAATTGATTATTAAAAATACATATTTGTAATTATTGGATAAATAAAAAAAATATTTCCACAAAGCATACATTCTAATTCAGTTTGCAAAGTCACCTAACGATTTCGTTTCATTACCGGACCCCCGACTAATTCCGAAACGTTCCCAGACCATCTCTGAATCAAGCACTTCTTTATCAAATCGTTTACGTTACTAATTCGACAATAAAGGATCACTCAACATAATCATCTTTCTTTTTTACAGACTGTCCACTAATAAATCATTAACTAAATGTACATTATACAGCGCCTTATTCCAGACTTTTTATTCCGTTTACTGGTGATCTGTGGGGGGTTTAGAAAATTAAGGATTTGCTAGGGAGATGTACATTAGTGTCCTGAAATTCTCCTGCATATTAATTGGAAAATAGTCGATGAAATTGTGGCGGATTTTATATTAACAAAAAACTTCATCGGCGTCTACAAATCCACGCCGCACTGAAAGGGTCTCCACTGTGCAATTGACCTTCCTCAACAACCCATGCTATACACAGTACACGGTATATGCATCACACAGTCGGCATAAATTCCCAATTACACATACTAATAACTCCTCGCGTTATACCAACCGTCATCCGAAGCGGCGCAGCGCGCCAATTGAAAACCCAGGAAATTCGCTGGTAGTTAATTTAAAATCCTTTAATCCCGACCGAGCGCGCTTCGCGATTTCGCCGAACGCATGAAATATGTCCCGTTGGCGTGGAGGGCGTCCTCCTCCCTGCCGCATGATTTATCACATTGCGGGGGTTCCGCTTATTAGATTAAGTTAATCTGTTACAAGTCCGCGGGAATTTCAACGGTGGATACCTCATAAGCCCGATTCCCAAGCAATTATTGCATCGGGTTGCCGCGCCGTCAATCAGTAAGTAGTTGGAAATGATACTTGTATACCAGAGCAATAATAATACGCATCATAATAAGGTTTTATCTTATACTAATTGGGTAATTTAGAGCGATGTTAATGCGCTAATTTGAGAACGAAGCAAATCTCTGCGGGTTAATATGTATGTTTTTGAGTAACAAAGTTGTTGAAATTGTTTAAGAATAAGAGTTTTGGTTCATTTATCTAATTATAACTTTCGTAGGCATATTTCTATTATTACTCATCAGTAGTTTCGCTGCGGCGATGAGGCTTCCTCGTAACCAGGATATATCCAGTAGAAATCGCGGTGATTAATATCGATAATCATGCGGATGAATATAAACAATTCGTTGTAGGCTTACCAAAAACCCGAGGAATTTCGAAGAACCGGCTAATTTATGGCCATCGAGGATTCGGTGTCACTCGGTCTGCGGTCACTGACGCGTCCGGGGTGCCGTTTGTCAAAACGCCACGACGCGTCGCCGGGCGATTTGTCTAACTAGACGAACGGGGAAAACGCGCAGGAAATCTCTCGAAACGTGTCGATCGCGCGGCGGAATTTCTGCTACCTAAATAATGGAATGCCCGATTCTCACTCGACGTTTTATCGCGCGATCGCGTCCGCAGATACGCCACATTCTTCCGATGAGCAATTTGTACGGAATGCTACGACAACTCGAGAAACGGATCGATGTGTTTGATAATTAGCTACCCGATTTTATGCGATATCGCTCGAGGAACTAATTTATATTTTGATTAAAAGTAGTCGATTTTCTCGCGAATTGTGCTACAAAAACGGTAACATCACAAAGTTGACTAAGGAAGATTATAATTTTTTAATAGATTGTTTTGAGCAGAAGATCATCTAAAATTCGACTTACCTATTAAGAAACCTAATAAATTATACATACCTGTGCGCAAGAGTCATTTATATTCCACCAAAGTCTACAAAAGATTATTCAAAATGAAATATATTTCAACCATTTATTGACAATATTGAAATTTCCACAGGTGGATTCGAGAATGAAAATCCGGTGTCCCCTCTTGCTCTCCATCGCGCTGGTTTCGTTCGTTTTGGAAGCCAGCGCGGCTCCGTGACGGGACAGAGGCCGTGATTGACGCGTTTTTTGTTCATTTAGCATTGTTGCCGGGCCGGAGAGGTTCATTAGACGTGCTATGAGGATCGCGGCAGGGGGTAGACTCGAGGATTTCACCCCATCGGCTCGCGTTTGACCGCGCGAAGGTGTTACAATATCACTAACTCAACGTTCGGACGGGTTCGTTTATAATTAAAAATAATTTAGTTGAGCTAACAGAGAACAAAGGACGGTCTTGTTGAATGGATTTTTTTCGTCCGTTGATAAATAATCTATTATGTGGAGGTAGGAATTTCGAAATTATAAAATGTAAATTACACTGTATATTCTACTAAGGACGCTTTAACTTTTTAGAAGAAAAAATATTATGGACTCAACAGAATACCGGGTGGTCCACAAAAACACTCTCCTACAATACTCGATACTTGTGATAAAAATTTCCCTTGATTAATATGTTGATTCCCTCTATTCTATACATTGTAAAATTCACATGGATTGTGATAGATTTAAAATTTAATAGCAAAGTTCTAAAGTTGTTTTTTTAGGGCAAAATCCGGACCTGTAGGCTCACCGAAAACCGCGCGATAGCCATCTTAAGTGAAATCATGAAAAACTTAATGGCCCGAAATTCGATACCGATTTATCTGTAAGAGAAACGGTACAACTATCGGAGGACTCGCGAGCGTTACGGGTATATATGACATTCTTTTATTTGGACAGGTAACATCCTTGTTAGGCCGAAAAAAACACGAGCCCGCTATTTCTTTTAAGTACGCGCGTGTGGTCGCTTGGGATTTTACTTTTCTGTAACTTGATCGTTTCGAGGATGCGGAGATCGGGATTGGTGTCGTTGTTACTTCATCAGTTCGGTTGATTAAAATTGCGGCAATTTTCGAAAGTTCCGTGCGAAGTTTTCTCTACTTATACGCTTGTTTGGGGATAATTATATGAATAAATTAATGATTTGATTAACTTTTTTACTCTACTGAAAGACATAGAGTGTATGATCTTATGCGAAATGAACATAAATAAATATCACATACATTTAATATTCATTATCCAAACATTTTTGAAAACCCTCCACCGCCTTTGAGTTTGCATTTACATTCTTTCAATTTGCATTTGCACTTCTTGTATTTCCTTTTGTACTTCTTCTTCTTCTTTTTGCACTTCTTGTACTTCCTTTTGTACTTCTTCTTCTTCTTTTTACACTTCTTGTACTTCTTTTTGTACTTCTTGTATTTCTTCTTCAACTTCTTAATTTTGCAGCCATTAGCTAAGATGGTGGGTGCTACTGGTAACCCATCTTGCGTCAAGGGTTGTGCGGGGTATGGGAGAACTTTTTCAAAAACGCTATAATTGCTGTAATAGCTTCCTAATGGTGCCACATTGGATAAAACATTTCGGGTCGAAATCGTTCTTATGGCATTTTTAATAAAATTTTTAGGTCCATTCTTGATTAGAATCGGACTATACTTGAGTTTTATCACATTATTTCTTACTAGGGGTTTGATAAAATTGGCCAAATGCATTAATAAAACTTCACTAAAAATTTCACGTACATCTTTTAGCATAAATTTGACTACTATCGATGGTTATCGTTACTATCGATACATACTTCAGATATACAACTCAGCTTTCTTGATGTAAAGGACAAAGCAGCAAACAACGTACTATTCTTATTAACAAAGAATTTCAGCAAGTTTTATTTAAATAATTTACTATTATTCAATAAAATTTCTTCGATTCAATAATCTTCTTAAAGCTCTTCCAATAGGCCTTTCCAATTTACGATTTCTATAGGAACAAACGAGCATATGAAATCTATCTATATGAACATTCCCTATAAAAGTCGTCAAACAGTCATATTTACAAGTGACACAATCAAATATGTCGTTCAAATTTACATTTTAAAATCCCAAATGCATATTTCCATAATAAAATTCCTAGTATCAAAATATTCCATAAACCCCATATATTTACAAGTTCATTCAAGATATGCACTGAAACTGTTACCCGACACCTCCACCGGGGTGTTCAACCTCTGTAGATGTCTGTTGCCCAACGTGGTGAAGCATCGTTACAATTCAATTCGAGTATGCAACATCATAAAAACACCATACAAACTACCATCATCGACTATCCATCCCTTGCCGATAAACAATGAACGATCCATCGAAATCGACGAATTTCGAATTCTACCAACGACTCCTCCTCCGGCGAGGGAGCCGATGGAGCTAAGCAGCTGCAAGAGGGAAAAGAAGTGCAAGAAGGCAAAGAAGAAATACAGGAAAGCCAAAAGGAAGTACAAGAAGTTGCAAAAGAAGTTAAAAAAATGCAAAAAGAAGAAACGAAAATACAAGTGCAAGTTGAAGAAGCATAGATGTTGTTGAGGCGATTAAAGTGGTACCAGGAAACATTAAAGTTTTATAAGAGGGGTTTAAATAAATTTCACGAGCAGTTCGGTAGTGGTCGTGTTTATTTTTGTTTTGTTTCATAAGATAATGGAAAATATTAATAGAGTAAAATAACTGTAGTTTGTTTGTTAATCTCCATATTTAGTATACATTTGATGGTTAAAATAATTCACAAAGAAAAAAACTGATAGATTTACACTGATCATTTCACAATGACCGGCATACCAGCCATCTCGTCACCTGGAGCGCACTTTTTCTTGTGCTTCCTTAATTTTTTCTTGCACTTCTTCTTCTTCTTCTTACACCTCTTCTTCTTCTTCTTACACTTCTTGTACTTCTTCTTATACTTCTTGTTCTTCTTCTTACACTTCTTCCTCTTCTTCTTGCATTTCTTATATTTGCGCTTGTACTTTTTGGCCTTCTTCTTGTACTTCTTGTACTTGCGCTTGTACTTTTTCGCCTTCCTTTTGCACTTCTTCCTCTTGCAGCGACTACTGCCTAGCAAAGCTGGTTCGCCGCTCCCCGGCAACGCAGGAGGACACCATACTCGATTATCTGGGGGCGGGTCGACCAAGCTGGGACGGCCGTAGTACAGCCGGAACCTCTTCGGTTCGTCTACGAGCTGCTTAAGCAGACCGGGCAGTACCTGAGGCGCGTTGGCTCCTCTAGCGGCATCGCAAAGCCCCGCTCTCGACACAATTCTAGCATTTGGGACTAATAAACGTGAATTTGTTGTATTTTTCGCTATGAGATTCTTCACTAGCTGTACGACAGACATTAAATCATTTAACTACGAATTTTTTCATTCACGGGAAATTTTCAACGGCTTGACCAAAATGTGTGATATGACATTAAGAAAATGTGAATGTAAACAGTTTTGTTTATATTTTTGACTGATGCATCATAAAGATCATCAATTGTCTAATAATGTGCACTTATAATACTCAGTTGAGTTCTCTTTACTTTATACTTTATTTTGTTGTACACCTACATGTGTTCTATACTATTTATTTGTTCTATTATTATTGATGGTGAAATTAACTCTGTGCATTTCGGTGTAGAGGAAAGGCCACCTCTCACTCGTATCTCACCAATTCAAGCACTTAATTTCCTCGAAGGTGATTAGATAAAGGGCCGAAACGAGAATGTAATCTAATACCAATTTATCAGGAAATGAGAAGGATAAATATCCCGATTTCGGTGTCACCGGAGGTATGTCTTCTGCCGGTTTAGGACAGGTTATGCTGACGATGAATTCAGTACCGTCGTCAATCGGAAATTGAACCTCCACCTGCAAGCTTGTAAAGGGCTTTTTATCCCTTAACCCCCATTATAAGGTGAGCTAAAATATGTGGTGGTATCCAAAATCTAAAGCAAAGTGCCGGTATTGGTATATAAATAAATGCGATAGTTTAGAGTCAGTGATGCCTACAACTTTACAAATAATACGAGTATAATTTATTAGGTAATGATATTAATAAATAATTTCACAGATACGGGCTTAAAAGGCTTCTCTTCATTTTTTAGCGCACTTTTTCTTGCACTTCGGTTTTTTCTTCTTGCTGAATTTACTCTTCTTCTTGCATTTACTCTTCTTCTTCTTGCATTTACTCTTCTTCTTCTTACTCTTACAACGCCTCTTACATTTCTTATACTTGCACTTATACTTTTTGGCTTTCTTCTTGTACTTCTTGTACTTGCACTTGTACTTCTTGTACTTGCGCTTGTACTTTTTCAACTTCTTCTTGCATTTGTTCCTCCCGCAACCGTCCAGCAAGGCCGGTTCGCCGCTCCCCGGCAACGCGGGAGGACACCATATTGGAATTTCCGGGGGCGGTTCGACCAAACTGGGGCGGCCGGAGTACAGCCGGAACCTCGCCGGTTCGTCTATGAGCTGCTTAAGCAGGCCGGGCAGTACTTGAGGCGCGGTGGCTCCTCTGGCGGCATCGCGAAGCGTCAGTCTTGATGCATTTTTCAAAATCGGGGCTAAAAAACGAGAATTTTCGGCATTTTTCGCTATGAGATACCTCACCAGCGGTAGGATAGACATTAAATCATTTAACTTGGGATTTTTTCATTTACTGAAAATTTTTAATGGCCTGACAATGTTGTGCGATTTGACATTATGAATTTTGTGGATGTAAACAAGATTTTGTTTATATTTTTCGAGTGATGCACTCATTACTCGGTTAACTTTGCTAATATACTTTATAATTTATTTTGCTATATTAATATCTTACTAATAGTGAGACCACCTCTCGCACGAGTCTCACCAATTCAATCATCTACAATTTCGTTAAAAAGTTATTTGAATTAGATAAACGGCAGAAAGGACCGAAATGAGAATGTAATCTAAAAGAAATTTATCATCAGTAAATGATGATAGAAAGAGACTGAATCAGTCTGTGACACCTGCAGCTTTACAAGTGTAAACATTTTTCAATTAAATTTGCAATGTTAGTGTGGAGAAAGGGAAAATTAATGTGTAGGTGGAGGACCGGTCACCTCTATTATAATACTTAACAAATTCCGGTGCATGTTTAGTCTAAAATAAGCAAATTAAAGCCTTAAAAAAACCCATAAAGAGAAGCAGGCAGTCTCTGAGTAGGTATTTTTATCTCCTCTGACAGTATTTAAACGAACATTAAGTAACGACAATGGTCGGAGCGATGACAATATTAGAAAATAGTGTTTCGGTTAAAAAGCCGGCAGGGGGGCCTGTCACTAAGCCAAGGGGGGCCGAGCCTCTCGCCTTCTCTTTTTCATTTAGAATAAGGACCCGAGTTAACAGCATGCCGGTAGGAAATCTTATATTCCGTTACGACAATTGTTAAATTTTTAAATAAGAAAGCTCATTATGTAGGTATACCAAAATAGAAATAAATAATTTTTACAAATACTCATATTTAGTATAAAATTGATCATATTTTAATTTAATAAAAAAAGCTGATAAAGTGTTTGATATGTAAATTGATTTAATATAATTCGTACTAATAATACAATAATTTGGAAAACATGAAGTAGAATAGATTCTGTAATTATTAAATTGTTACTGTTAATAAAGATCCCCTGAAAAAGCATATATTTTTTGAAAACTTAATTCTATACTGGCATAGAGTGTTAATAAATTCATAATGATTGGCCTCCAGGAGTGAATTTTCGAATATCTGCTAACAGTATAATGGTCAATCTAAATTTGAAATATGTACCAATAAAATACGAATCTTTAATCATCACGAATTCAGGAGAAGCTCTTTGTTATTATAAAAACATTAATATTTCTTTGTAATTATTGCCCATTCAATAATTTCTTCATATACTTACTATTTAGGATAACGTAAAATAATTTCCTAAATATTTCTTGCACAATAAATTAAATAGTAAATGGATCGCTGTGTATGTATACGAGGGGTGTTTCGAAATTAGCGATCGAAATTAGTGTTGAAAAGTGTTCAACATTTTTGAAATTGCTTTTATCTTACCATCAACAGCGATTTAATTGTTTGAAGTTTCTGTTATAAACACCCCATAATTAATAAATATAAAAAGACTTTTATTAGGAGTAAAGACGGGGTAAAACCGTCTAATTTTTCGTGAAGAACGCGCCCACCTACGTCTATGAGTATTACACTTCACGAAGATAGTAACACAAAAGAAGAATAACTGGCTTTCGCCAGTTTCATTCGACAGATTTGGATAACAAAAGAATTCTTGAAAGCGCACGCCGCAAAACACAATAAATATTTTATTCTTATAGAAGGCGGAATAAAAGGCTGAAATATAATATAATGGAGGTAATGTCCAATACATTCACGAGACGGTGCTTTTGATTCGTCGCTTTTTTTGTGCCCATTCCAATAAATCCTCTATCGATGACAGTTCAGTGTATTAATGATTAACAGACAACCCCTTAAGGCTAGAGTTCAGTACTTTGAAAACGTGTGTAAAAATGCTGAAATTTCCGTGACGTTTTCAGGGCGCATTTTGAAATTTGAAAGGGGGGTCGCACTCTATATATGTTCTACCCGTTTATTCTGATGGCGGTACGAAGCCCTTTTTTTAAAAAATGCTTTTGTTTTGGCTTAATTAATTAAAATGTTGAAATTTTATATTCCATTTTCAGGCTACATTTTTAACCTTTTCTGTGCAATTTTTGTACCAAAAGAAAGAGCTAACCATCCCCGATGGCGGTACGAAGCCCTTTTTTTGATTTTCTTTCGCATTTGTTGTTAATTGGACTTTGTTTGTTCATAAATTTTGTGTTTCCGAAGAAATAAAAATCAGTTTTAGGCAACCCATCAGGCAACTCCCGTTTGATTTATGAGGGGTAGGTCGAGTCTTCAATTTTACGACCCAAATCCGATAATCCGATTACCTATTTAGATACTGAATTTTAAACTTGCAAATATTCATTCCATCAGTGTAGCTACTTGTTAAAGATTACTATATTACAATTTCACTTATATTAATTAATTTTTATGTTAAATTAATTTTTTTAATTTTATGAAAAAAATAATGAAAGCAGCCACAAAAGTATTCGTTAGGTCATAGATTTATGTAGTCGCATTTTGTTTAGACATATGTAATTTAAATAAAATTGTGTATGTATATGTATTATGCAATAATACGGACCGAAAAATGCATACTTTTTGAGTTATTAATTTTTTTATGAAAAAATTGACCGATTCATGCCATTAATTATAAATTACTCTTTTACGAAAGATGCTTTTAAAGTTCTGGAAGCATTTTGGTAGGGTGGCTACTAGCAAGGTCAAAGGTATATTTCACCCTGAGTTGAAAGTTAAACTTCAAAATTATCAAATTTCCTTATTTTTTTTGGAACTGCCCATTATTTATATTTTATTGAAATCAGCGGTAAACAATAAGAGAAGTTCATGTTCATTTCGCTATACTATATGTGGCGGTAAAATGTCAAACAAAATGGAAGTGGTAAAAAACTCTCTTTTTATTTATTTCTTTATTCTCTTTCTATTTATTTATTTATTTATTGGTTTTCTCAGATTTTGGGATAGATACAATTTACATCCCTCCTTTAGGAATTTAGTAGATAATGATAAATTAATAGTCCACTTTAAATTTGATTTTAACTAAAAACTTATTTCCAGATATTTCTAGAACAGATTTAAAAAAATATTTTGTTTAATTCATCATAACGACAATGCAACAGAAATCCAGGAAACCATTAGACCAGCGATTACTTATAAAGCAATTGGGCCTACTCATGTACTTGCCTAATCTGTTTAGGTAAACATTGTATAAACGATACAATTGAATGAAAAATCAACATATCTACTATAAAGACACACAATAATATGACTATAATTTTTATTTAAGTTTTCACTTTGATAGGTACCAATATCAGATTTATTAATAAATCAAATAAAATTGGGCTAGTGCATGGCCCGGTAAAACGGGCAATAATCCCCGAATTTTACGACTTTTTAGCGAATGTTGGATCTTCAGGTACCTATTATAAGTTAGTATGGTGCCAGAATATTACCAATTTTAAATAAACCAATTTAATAATTATTTCTATTTGAAAATACAGTTTTTTAGAGTCTTCATGATGAGCTGATTTTCAATGATATGTCACACTTGCTATTTATCATTGATATTATACAGGGTGTAAACGATATGATACTCAGTAGTCACAAAATAAATCTTTATTTGTAAAAATAATAAAATAGCAACGCTGTCGTTTGCTTGTATGAAGTTGATCTTGAATTTGAAACATATAATTGTGATTTGATTTTAACGTAATATCTCCAGAATTATTTATTGTTAAATATTTGATTAAATTGTTTTTTACAGCTTCCTCAACCGTGTGTTCTCGGGCAGAATAAGGACACTTTACCTCAATAAGTGCATTATCTCCTATTAGCCCGTCCGGGGAAGCTGCCAAAAACTTATTTTCCTTATCAACAAACAATCCGCATTTCATTACATTTTTACTATACATATAAGGATTCAAATTTTTCTATCGCTTTTGATTCGTTTCCGATAAACTGAAGCAAATTATTAGATTTTTTCCGAGGTAAATATGCCGAAAGTTGACACTAACTTTTTAATTTAATATGAAATATCATATATATTTTTACATTTTTAGTATCTCCATTATGAGCTGATTTCAATGATGTGTTACACTTGCTATTTATCGTCGATATTAAAGGATCTACAGCCATTTGAAATTATGTTTTTTGACTTTAGGCTGCCCGCGAGTGGCCGTAACTCCTTTATTATCAATAATAAGTTTTAAGTATGACCTATCGTTGGAATCGGCTCGTCTTTATGATTTTAAAAATGTAAACCATATACGAATTATTTCATTTAAAATAATTTGTCGTCATCGGCATTTCTAAATATTCGAAAATATATTTTCCTACAATATCGAAATTCGGATATTCTAAAATTTAAATTCTAATAAAATAACCAACCCAACCGCTTATCTCAGTTTTACGACATACCCCGCTATGAGCTTACTACCTGAAAATTTGCCGAAATAAAGTGACAGGTCTTGCTGTACAAGTTGCCTATTCCCAAAAAAATATTTGGTGAGTACTGAACTCTAGCCTTAATGTTGTGTTTAAACATGCATTTAACTTACAGGGTAACCCTAAATGGGGAATAAATGTACGAGGAAAATGTGGGATTAAAATCGCGACAGCCTAGAAGAGACTAATACACATGCAAAAATGGAAATTGTCTACAAAGGAAAGGGGAAAATGTGGGTACACATTTACCGTGCAATCGCCTTTTTTGTCTGCAAACTTCCTGTAGTTACCGTGCAAAACGTTCCATTTTATAGCCGTGCAGACGGCCTATTTTGTCGCCATTTCACCCTTTCCTGTCGTGCTAGAAATTCGTACCGAAACTACCTGACGTCCCGCATCCGAAAATTGGGTAACGCCAAACTGCCGTTCGGGCTTCCTGTCAACCCCGATCTACCCCCGATAAGCCGCGGACGGCCGACGTGGGTGGTCGACTAAAAGGTGTCATAATCCGACCGGGCTTAACTGGCATTAGAAGCGATTTGCGAAAACTCGCACGTTTTGTCACTCGAGATTATATTCAAATATTTGGAGTGCCGTTTTGTGAAAAAAAAACGTGTCGTTTATTACCCGCCGAGTCGAGTTGTGTTTGGGGTAAATAGAAAAGTGGAGTTTGAATGGGCTTTGTAATGGTGATACAGATGTCGGCGAAGACGCGGCGAATTAAAAGTTTATAGAACATAGGGAGTTTGAATGGAAAACGGTCGATTGTTTGACTCGTATACAAATCATTTGTATGTAAAACATTGTTCGTCTGCCTACACACCCACAACAAATAAGAATAGATTAATGGGAGGATTCGATTTGTATTTTGTATTGTTGTCGAAATTTTGGAGTTTTTGACAGTTTTCCCGCTGCGGTTTTCAAGAGAGCATTCTTAGAAACGACAGAATTTGAGAGTCTCCAATTGTCGGTAAAACTTACCAGCATAAATATTTTGATTTACCAATAATAGGTAGAATAAACTATTAACAGAATTTAGAAGACTACAAAAAGAGGCCAAAAAGAAAGACAAAACTTGACATAATCAATGATCACAATTCACAATACATTAAAAATAATCTTATACAGGGTGTTCCTAAACATCGTGCACATCCGAAAGGGGGTAATTCCTTGGCTTATTTCATGACTAAAAGTAATTAATTGTACACGGTGCTGGAAATTTTCAAAATGCATTTCAACCGTTTGAATACAGATTTCTTAAATTTGCACCACACACCTAAAGCTTATAAAAGCTCCCATTTAGTAACGTTGTAGGTCTAAATACTCTACAAAGAAATAGTTTATTGAAGTTTAGCGAGCCGACGTGTCTAATGAGAGAAGCGCCTTTAACGTCGACTTTTTCCACCCATCTCAATTATTGAAAACGAGCGCTTATTGATACTCGACGCCTCTACACCTTTTAATTGGCATTCCTTTCCAGTGCGCTCCGACTCGTATCTGGAAACGTCTCGCCCAGTCGATACGAGGTGAACGCAAAAAGTACCGCAGAAACAAAAAAAGACGCCAAAAACAGACATATAAATAGACAAAATATTAATTTGGTTTTAATAAATAAATAAGGCTTGAAATGGCCAAAGTGTAACTAAAATTGCAAAAAAACACTACTTTAAAACAGATAAAAATGAGACACTCAACAACATTTAGAAATAGTACAAAATACTCTTTAAAATAGTCAAATGTAACCACAATATTTATTATAATTTTACCGAAATTTACTAATCACCATCATGTGCGTTTTTGAAATTTTTAATAATATTTTTGTCCCATGTCTCCAGTTTTGTTTCATTCCAATAACAATAATATATAGAATTAATATACAATTTCTAATTTATCTTGGATTGTCCCTTAATAATCACAAATTTTTATATGAAAAGTATATCCATTAACTTTTATCTAGTACACACGTTGAATAGAACTTGTATCGCATCCATTACAAGCACACACTAATATTATTCAATTCGATTGATTATTAATTAGCTGTTGGTATGCGTGCTTTATAATTACAGAGCCCGACCGAAGAAAATAAACGACAAATCAAACAATATAGCGAGCATCCTTATCCTCGACGATCGAATTTAAAATTCAAAGTACGTCGCGTCGCGAAAGTCGCGCGGGCTTTGCGAAGAAAGCAAAAAAAGCCGGAAAATGTGCTTTGACCCTCGTATCGACGAATGCGTGGGCTCGATACGTTACGGGAGGGGCATGACAAATCAGTCGTTGTAGCGTGGGGCGCAGGGAAAACACAAAACATGCTCGGTCACCTTTGACCTCGACGTTCTCAATGGACCGCCATCATTCCATCGGACACTATCATTTGTTTTCCTACGTTTGGCTCTTCTTCTCTTTCGTTTGCTTTAATGCGTCTTGAATGAATTTACTGTTTAATATTCCGATGATCGGTCGGTATGCAGAAAAAAGCGTCGTCATTTTTTTCCACCTGGCGATCAGAGACGGATTTCCACCATATTACACAACAAAGCGCAATTGGGAGAATTTAAACAAGTCAAGTGCAGGTATACAATTTATTTTATTTTTGATCGTTTTAAGGTTGAATGATCTACATACATGTAGTAGTAATGTTTGCAAAAACTGTACTACTTGAGATTCAATTGAATTGGAATTATCGACCAAGTATAAAGAGTTTTAAAAATATAGAGCTTGATTAAAATAGAGAGTATGGTAGAAATCTGAAATCCTATGTGGAAAATATAGTGGGTTTGTTGTCTCATCGCTTATTGGGATCTCCCATATAAATATGGTAGAATAGATTTTATTTCACTACTTACCTTTCATCCATTAATTTTTTTAATATTCTCCAAATGTATTTCCTTCATTAAAATTTCTAATTGGTCATCATTTTGATACACTTTTAAAATTTTCCTGTATTATATTAAATATACTACTCCACAAAAGTTAAGGAAGTTCACAAATATTGAGATTAATTTAAAAGTTGCAGGTTTTTTGATCGCCAAATTTAGTATGAGTTGTAGAGGTAGGGACGAAAAATCCACTCGGATATGAGAGAAAACATTTAATTTCGCAAAATTTGGTGATCAAAAAGTCTGTAACTTTTAAAATAATCGCAAAATTTGCGAACTTCCTTAACTTTTGTGGAGCAGTTTATTAATAAAGTATTTAGGCTATACTGATAAATAATCTATATAGGTAGGTATCTAAGTTCCTTTAAACTTTAATTCAAATAAAATTAATCATCAACTATCATTGCTACATTAAGCTATATCTATACTAGGAAATACCTACACAATTTGAACGATTTTTTATTAGGCTGTAACTAATACAAACCTTATCGAGTCCCTCTTATCTAATCGCTGGCATAATTATTTCTGTTTGGATGGCCGATCCTAATTACATTATCTACTTAACCCTTTTCTTTATTGGTGTCCGCGCTTCAATCGACGCTGTAGGTACACATTCTACCGATATTAATTAATTAAGATAGTGAACCGTGCTTTAATCTGGTCTAAGCGACAAACAAACCCATCAGCTTGTCTCAACGCCTCATTTAATTAGGGATAATTGGATATTGAGAATCGCGTTACTGTATATTGGTTATACTTAGAGCTAATAAAGGATGTGTAGAAAAAAATTAAATAATCACATAGGTATAAGGATAAAATAGTGGTAAAATAGGTCTTTAGAAAATAAGAATTAAAAGACATGACAAGATGTAAACGATAAAATTGTGGGTACCTAACTGGTAGAAATTATTAAACCATTTGGATGCACCTTTGTATGTATTTTCAGTAAATTTTGTGTGTCCATTAGTCGTAATGCGGGCATCGAGAAAATGCCAATAACCGATATACCTTCCCCGGTTATCTGTTCATCAATTATTTGCGTTTCTTTCGGTCTAAAAGACGCGATAAAGAGGAATGTTTATTGCGGGAGCATCTCACCCACGACGCTTTCGTGTACCACCAAATTGGTTAATCCTGTATCGACGAAGATACCAGCCCATACTTCTTTTTGTAGGTGGTTTCTGTTTAGCACGTGCACACCGGGGTTCGTCGAGTCGTACATTATCACCAAAAAACGGCTATAAATACTGGCACAGCCAAATAATAAGGCTGTTTGCAGGATTGAAGAATTCCACTATAGACTCGGTTTGGTCCAGTTGATATTCAAATAAGGTAATTTTCGTGCTATACGAGGCTAACGAAAAAAATTAAAAAGTAGGTATTTAAAAGTCTGGGTACCTATACGGGTATCTTGTGCGCTTCGAATCGTTAATGGATGTTTGTTCGAGGAAATATCGCGCTCGACCGGACGGTCACTAAATCAATATTTGGCACACTTCCTGTGTCAATCCGATAAACGGACGTCGTTGAAATATACCTACAAAAACTGTTTAATAACCGGAGTTCGTTTCTAAAATTTATCAGTAAAATAAGATCTTTGTATAGGAATAAGCAGGTACCAATTTGAAGAGAATTACTAACAGTTCTAACTAATCCCATATTTCAAAAATACAGCGTTGTACAAAACCTGATTAATCAAGGAACATCAGTATCATTTTAATACTTTAAATTACATAGGTAATAATATGATCTCGATATGTAATGAGTTCTTGTTAAGTTACGATCTTTACGGGGAAAATTCCAAATACCCTATAGTTTCGTAAAACTCCATAAAAAATACTGTATATATATAACAACGAGATGATGGCGTCGTGTGAATCGATCGGTTGATAAATATCGAAAGCGACATGACGAAGTATTTCGATAATCGTTTATAAAGCTGAGAAGATCGGCTCGATCCGATGGATAATAAACATCCTCGAATCTGTCATCATTCCCTCATTTTTTCAGTTAATTTCATTCGACGTAGTGGCGTATAGTCGGGCGGGCTGCCCAAGGCTAGACTACCTGAAATCGAACGATTTTTACCTACCGATTCACCGAATGTGCAACTTCGTATAATACTATTAATTAGGTAAATAATTACAGTTAATTTTAACAACTCTATTATTAACAATATGTACAGTATTTTCAGATACTATCACTTAATTCTATAATCTAATATTTAGCTCATTATTATCAAGCTTTATCATTATCATCAGTATTTATTTGAATCGAATCTACTGTCTTCAATCTACTCTGTCTTGGCTAGATAAACTTCTAAAATCTGTAAGATGCAAAGTTCTTGGGATACACGCTACTGCTGGTGACTGGGCTTGTCAACGATCCCTCAAATTTTCAGTTAATTTGATTCGAAACGCAGCTCAGTTAGATTTGGTAGTTTTATCAAAACATCGAGAGGAAAAAGGATAAGGCGGACGAGGCGAGATAACGATCTTCGGTTATTGACAATGCATCACGGTCAACTCCATGCCAGCCAAAATTCGTTTCATATGCCTTTACACTGATAAAAATAATTTTTGACTATAATTCGAGCTTGGTTAAGTGCTGGACAATTTGAATTTGTTTTGAATTGTATTTATTTTCAAGTAGTTCACGAAAAAAAGGGGATTATTTGACTTCGTTGCACACTTTGAAAGAAATTGACAATTTTTTGGCGTTGTTTTAAAAATGTAATGAACAAATTTACATTATAGAGTCTGGAGTAGAAGAGAGTAGAGTAGTATAGAGTAGAATAGAAGAGAGTAGGCTAGAAGAGAGAATAAGGGTAGAATAGAGTAAAGTAGAGTAAAAGGGAGCAGAGTAGTAGAGAATAGAGTGAATAATAGTAGAAGCTAGGAAGCAGAGCAGAGTACATAGAGAATATGTGTATAAAAATACGTTGCTGTAAACAGAAAATCTGAATCATCAAAAAAATTAATATTTGTATTAATGTATTAATAATAGTTATTTTCTGGAGATGACTTTGCTCCCAATTAACCTATAGAATTAATAGCCAGCATATAAGATAAAGAGAGTAAATTATTTACCATAGAGAGTCGATTCTACTTTAAAGAGTCAAATGAACTAATCAAAAACAGCGTTGATCCTTTGTAGTTACCCGGTAGATTTTAAAGTGTGGAAGTATAAACAGTTTTCCCAAAGCATAAGTTTGTGTTTTATGATCGGAATGCACCTATTGCATTGGGACAAGTGCGCGCACTGTGCGGCTTTGTCGTCGTCGTTCCCTCGCAGTGGGAAGAAATTCCAGTGGTGGTTTATGTCGACGGGATATTTGGGCCAATGCACCGCTTTGTTTTGACAGGCTCCGGTATTTTTCTCTCATATCGGCCGATTGCTCGGGGAGATTACGCCCGAGTACTTACCTGCCTGTCGCAAGTACGAGAAAATCCACTTTCTAATGGCAATAAATTTCATTTGTAATTATTATAATTCAACGTCGAGGTGAAATATATCGAAAATTTATTGGTATGTTCGTAATTCTTCTGCTTTTGTTTTACTGTTTCATTACATTGAATAATAGATGTTTGAAAGAAGGTTTATTTAAACGCAAAAATCGGGTATTATGACTGGGCACAATTCGGGTGTTCTATGAGTAAGAACCGAAGAGAAATCAAACCACATTCAAGCCGTCGTCTCGCGGAGTAACACGACTGTTCAAACAACGGGAGCCCCCCTCTGGGAGAAGGTCCGGAGCTACCTTTGTACTTTACGTCAAGACTTCATATTTTGATAATCGATTTCGCTGATAAAATCTACGATATTTTTTTCGTAGAACACCAGTCATTTATTTGTGTAGAATAACAACGCAAACGTCCGAGTGCTTTTTTTTCGATTGACATTCGTTAGTGCCCGTACCAAATACCGAAACAGGCGCCGGATTTTTGTTTTACGGACGACGGTACTCGTAAAAATCTGATGAAATCAAATATGTAGATAATAAAAAAGAAGTTTGTTTTTATTTCGTCGTGGAATTATATTAATATCCTGGTAGAAGCTCCCGAGGGGGTAAGCTTCGACTTTTCAACACTAAAAATCCGAGGATTTATGAGAGTTTGTATCACGAAATTATACTTAAAGTCTAAACAACAGGAGTTACTGGTATCTTTAAAATAATGAGATTTAAGCGAGCTCTCAAACTTCCAAGAGAATTTCCAGGATAACTCCTTTCTCGAACGTTCTAACAATATCTCATTACTTATAAATTCGAATAACTATTTACAAAAAATACACAAAAGTTCTTCTGAATTTACGTAAGCGACGAAAGCGATACTCTCCTCATATTAACCTCGTCTAAGGATGGTGATGGGACGATTTGCCATTGGTTTGTCGCCGTTGCTTCAAGGACTGAGCTAACCCTTCTCGATTGTTTTTCGTCCTCTAGATTTGGTCCTTGCGCTAACAAGTAATGCGGAATCTTCGCCATCATTAGGTAACTGTAAAATAAATTTTACAACGGTTAATAAAATTATATGTTAGCGAGGTGATATACTTACATTGTGGCTGAACCGGATAACACCCAAAACCCTAATGATACGAAATTGAATAAACCAATGAAGGAATGTATGGTAGCATTATATATGAGAGGATACATGACCGATGTCAGCATCCCAATGAGACTACCGATTACACTTATCAGAGCTAATATTTTGCCCATTTCTTCGGCGGAAACCAACTTGGATAAAATCATTGTTAGCATGAGCATCGGAAAACCCTCAAAGAAACTTGTGATGTAAGCTGAAATGTAACAACAATAATTTTTCATTATATAAATTGCAATTAGGTACGACTTACCTGCATAAATGTAATAGTCGTTGGTTGCGAATCCTCGTAAAAGACACCCCAACCAGCGCATAGTAATGCCCAAAATGACCAGCTTTACGTCTTTGATTTTTAAAAATTTGTGCAAAACGTACGTCACGAATAAATTACCGAAAATTGCTCCGAAACTAACAGCGCTGTGAACCAGAGTAATTTTCTTCAACGTCCATTGTAACTTGGCTCTCAGATACAGTGTAATAATCGACATATCGCCCATTCCAAAATTGGTAAATATATGCGTGGCTATTAACCAAAATATATAAAATCTTGCGTTGTTTTCCCTTTTTCTGATAGTGTACTTTATTATCTCTTTTACATTTACCGAGTTCATTATTTCCTTTAGTGTAAATGGCTATAAAAATTAAATTATTGGATTATTTACACACTGATAAATATCATTAAAATACCTTTTTTTCTTCCTTCAAAGATTCGGGTATGAAGAACAGTGTATAGAAGAAGCTCATAGTAATCAACGATAATCCTATGAGATAAATAACTTCGTAGCTTGTGGCATAAAATATGTACGAAGATACTAGATTAGCTATGGCTGACGATACGCTAAATACTGCTCCAAATACTGTTAACCTAAAATTAATACCAAAACATTATTTAGCCCTATCACATTGCTTAAATTGGGTAAAATATATCACAAAAATCTTACATACAGATAATTTCATAAAATTCTAATTCTAAAATTTCATAAATTAATCTGGAGTAGTAATAAGAAAATTATGACTATTAGAAAAGTTTTTTTTCTCAAATTTTTACACCCTGTAGCTCGAAAACTAAGAGGTTCATTGATATAAACTTTTCTTCTTTAAAAAATCATCCAAATATTAACATCCTGAAGTATCGGCATTCAATTAATTAACACCCTGTATATTAAAGTAAATTTGTTATATGCCTTTCTATATACGTATATCATTAAAAATATGCAATTTTCATGGCGATGATATCAATGGAATTTGCCTAATTCGGTAAGTAAGTGCTCCAATAAATATTTTAAACATATTATTTTATGTAGCTGAATAAAAAATGTCTTATCTGTGAAATTAATATTGGTATCGCCAGTAATTATACTCCACTTATTATTGCTATGAAAACAATGGAAACACTTAGGAAATTTAACTTCAATTTGAAAACGTTCATCTTGACATTGGATCTATAATATCCAGTAGATAGATGTAAAGATAGATACATCTAATATTTAAATTAGATAACAAAATTCCTGTATATTTTGGATATTTGTGGTTCACATTTTTAGATTTAATTAGATTAGATTAATCTGTATTATGAAAAGGAGGCAAATATTTTCGTCCTCATTGAGGCCTTAAATGGGTAATAGCCATTGGTGTCATCATTAACCTACTCGTTCATCTACATAAGCAAACTGCAGTTCATATAAAACATTTTCTCACTCAATACAAAAGAAAACTTATTGATATTAAAATGTTAGGGCTCTCTAATAACATAAAAATGACAAATTTCTAACTTGTTGCTGCATGGAACTACGTCCTCGATGAGTATATGATATGTACCTCTAAATAATATTAATTACAGATAATCACTCACCTAATAATTCTGTTCTTTTCTGTTGTCACGTCGATAATGTGAGCGTTATTAATAATCATTATAGACGAAAATCCTCCAGTTAACATCGACGGTATAGAGCTCAAAGTGAACCACCATGGCGATAAATCCTCGAAATGTACTAAGATTGTACTTAGCCCTTGATGTAGTAACATACCTAAAAAATAAGGATTTTTTTAAATACTACAGAACTGCATCCAGATCAATTCGGATAGGAAAATTACTGATACTTATCTTCACACTGAAATAAAGTTGGAATAACGGAACGTAGAAGATAAGATGATCTCAAAAATTAATCCTTACCTACATGACAACCTAGCATGAAAGGTCTGCGACCAAACTTATCCGACCACGTGCCCAAGAACATGCAAAATATCATGGGTAAGAAGGTATTAATGATATTATTAGCCATATTAATCTGATTCACCGTCGGTTGTACCATCGGTTCCAATACTTTAGTAATGTTGTTGTTATTTGTACCGAGTTGTTTGCAGTCGGATTGATTGTATTGAAGTATAATGTAGCATGTTCTGTAAACGAAGAGATTTGTCATAATTGGCCCTAAAATAAAAATTTCATTAATGTTCGTTTTGCAAAATAGGTGCATAAATGATATTGTGCCTATGAAAATACATCAAATAACATCGTTGTTGATTGGAGGAATCTATTACAAAAATATAAAAGGCTGCAGGTTAGAGGAAATGGTGGAAATTTGGTGGAATTTTTAATTCGGTATAAATAATATAGGGAGTTTACAAGTGAAGAATATCCTTACCTTGTAATAAAAAGGAAAATGACATCAACATCATTGGTATTTCTATGGTAAAGTAATTATACCAGGCCATTTTTGTTTTTTTCTAATATACAATTTCTAACAATCGCCACTAATATCAGAAGACAACTAGGTAGCTAAAGTTTTTGATCAACTGATAGAGGCCAATATTTATCATTTTTTTAAGAACCCTCGATTAACGCACTTATTATATCTACATAAGGTATGCATATTTTAGATTAGCGAGAACGTAATTTGCGTAATCACATTTTTTTCACTCATTCATGCAATCATTAATTCAAGTAGTTATTTCTATACATTTACATAGGTACCTACATTTATAGCTTTACTTACAAATATATAAAACACACTGTATATGCGAGATCAATCAAAGATAAAATCAAGAGATAAATCAAATAAACGATCGATTTGTAACTACTATTTATTTCAAGCTGAAAAAAAGGCGATCAAAGAACGGTACCATACACACTGGGCGCGGAGTTATTTAATATTAATAAGCTGCGATAGAGACATTAACATAAAATACATTTAAACCTGTCATTTTGGAAAAAATAATAAGCATCTGGTTTCGACCTCTAACCTTGTTCTTTTTGTTGTCACTACACTCCACGTTTTCAGAGACTGGTAGTTTATTCGAGTAGCCCAATAGCGACAAAGGCCTAAAATTTTTCAGTGTCTTCAAGATGAAATACGGATCGAAATTCACAGTGTGGGATTGGACGAATTTTTCGAATTTATATGTATACGTTTTAATCGCGAGGCAACCTACAGTGAAATTGTCCAAATAAATGTGGATTTGTGAAGAAGAACCATTAAGAAGTGTTGAGTAACTTATGGGCAAGGTCCAATAAAAGAAGATTTATTGGATTGAATGCTAAATAATCCGTGATTTCGATGTTCCCATTTAAATGATGTATAACGATAGATAAATTAATTTACAGGTCGTCTCAAAAAATAATCATCTGAAATACATTTGGTGAATCAACATTATAAATAAGAAATATGTCTATTTTATATGATAATGGTATTAAAGAAGTAGGTATACTAATTATAATTTACTTTATAAATAATCCAATTATTTATTTCAGAACAATGTGTATGTCCAAGAGTGTATTTTGCAAACAAAAGATTACAATAGAGTTATGTGTATATGAGTAATTAATTAGAACTTCTCCACTATTTATTATTAATTAGTAATTACTTAACCCATTGATTTATATTGATTTGTTACAGTTTATAAATTTAAAACGAATCAATTGAGTGCCCCTAAGAAATCAGCCCAATCAACATAATTTTTGACATTTTTGCAAATTTTTGAAAAATTTTAATCATTTATAATCATATTTAATCAAGTAAGTGTATATCTAAACTGCGTGCATCTAAGAATAAATCACAGGTACTAATACCTACCACAGTTTTGCATCAATAAATCTAAATAATATTTCCGCGATTTATTCTAAATTTATCCTGCTCCCGTCAGGTTATTTACAATAAAAGCAAGTAGGTACTACCTTCATCCCTTATATGAGCTCAAAAGAATTAAATCAACGTCCATATATCGGTCATAAACGCGTTTTCTGCATCCACAACAACAACGGCCGGTACTCACTCGGAGTTCTTCTCCTCGCTTGTCCTCGACTCTCTTCTAGATGGCGCACAGGTGAAAACAGATGAAGAACGTTTTCAACGGGCTACTATGATACCTGCTTAGTCGATGTTCTACTGTTTAAGGCTAGAGTGTGCGCGCGCGTTAAACGGAATTTTACGTTGAAAATTCGCAGAAGAACGACGAAAAAATTGTGATATGCGTATTGTTCGGGGGAGTACGGTGACATGAGGTATGCAGACGACGATGCCGACGTAAAATCGAATTCGCCCGTACAGTTTTTGCGCCGATCGTTCGATTAGAAGAATCCCGCCGTACGATGCAAACTCCGACCGATAAACCGTCGAACGATGAGAAACAGCAACTGTCGCCCGGCAAATACGCCGAGCTGGATAAGAACATAGCGACGGCCCTCCTGCAGGAGAACCTCATCCAAAGGTCGATCCAGAACGTGGCCCTGTCGTTGCAGAACGCTATGATGAATTCGCTGCAGCAGGCGGCGTTCCTGCCGGTCAGCTCCGCCGCGGCCGCCGCCCTCAACCTCCAGGCGCTCGAGTCCTATCTGACGCTGCAACGGCTGACCACGGTGTCGGCGACCTCCTCCGGCGGCAAGATCGACATACTGAAAATAGCGGCGAGCACCGCCAAGATAACGGAGGAGAGCGTCGGCGCCGCCGCCGACGATTTGGTCGCCAACACCAGCCTCACGGAGGACGTGGACCTGGCCGAGGAGGTCGAAGAAGACCTGGCGCTGCTGGACAACGAGGAGAGCCTGTCGGTGCCGTCGTCGCCGGTGGACACCACCTACCCCAGTTTGATACTGAACTCGATGTTCCAGAGCCCGGAGAATCTGACGGCGTCGGCGGTGACGACGACGACGGGCGCGACGCCCGTCCGGCAGAAGGGCGCCGCTCGACCCAAGAAGCAGTTCATCTGTAAGTTCTGCAACAGACATTTCACTAAAAGTTATAATCTGCTGATACACGAGAGGACCCACACCGACGAGAGACCCTACTCCTGTGATATTTGTGGGAAGGCTTTCAGACGGCAGGACCATTTGAGGGATCACAGGTGAGCCGATTTCTTAGTCAATCATATGTGACTTATTATTATTACTGACAGAACTTAATTGTTTAAAATATGCATAAAGTATTAGGATCTAATTAGCTAATGTTATGAATTAATAAGCTTAATTATATTCAAAGTTTACTAATTATCTTCTATCAAGAATTCAATTAGTTTTATATGAATTAATTAGGGTAAAAAATAAAAGATAATGAAAAAGCTAATTTTACCACCTGTGCTAAAAATGCAGATTATTCATGATCCTTGAACTTGATAAAATATAGAAAAGCAACCTTCCTGCAACATTTCAGAAACATGACGTCATCGCTTTATTAGCCTGGACACAGTATATCCTCTCAAACACTTGTCAACTTTTCAACATGAAGAAAATTTTGTATGATCAATCTCAAGTAAATTTATTAATAATATCGGCGTTGAATAAGTATTAAATATATTTGTTTATAGCCATATTGCTTGTATTAACATATTGGGTCAGATCGATAAAATTGAATCGAAAGCAAAACAAACAATAGATAATAATAATATGCATGTACGGCAAAAATTGCAAATTCAAGTGCGGTTTTGTAATTAGGTACATAATGCAGGGTAATTACCAACTATAAAAAATCGTTCGTTATTTTATATTCGAAAGTATACGGTCTTTAGTACTTACGGGTATTTTTTAACAAGAGGATATCTTAAGGTTGGCAATTTATCGTATTCCACTTAATTATCCTTGGAAGATTTCTTTTCCGTCCCACGCAGGTTCACTACATAATTGTCAAATGTGGAATAATTGGGTAATTTGGAGGAGCATTTATACAAGGTGAAAGTTATTTAATTTCGTTATTTAGTTAATGTCACATTTTAGGTGTTGGTTTAAAAGGAAATATACTTGTTGAAACAGGTACAATTTTATTGTTGTCTATTTCCGGTTATTATAAGAAGTTTCTTCGTTGCTTCGTTTCCTTCTGTTAATTATTTTTCGTTAAATAAAAAAATGTTTATATTTAATGAGATGGTTTCCTGTAGAAGTAAAGCCGCTCTAAATATTTTTCTAATGGCTTTGGATTGCAATGTACAGGACGATTTAAAAAATAATTTACTTAGGAAAATATTGAATATTCTTTTTGTATTTTTCTATAGATAATAAAAAATTGGTCTTACAGTTCGATAGTGCTCCTTAACTTTGTCCTGTATAATTAAAAACAGTTGTGAAAACTACTCAATTAATTCTAATTATTTTTAACTATTAATTTCTAAGCACGAATGCCTCATTTATCTAATTCAATAAACATCCAAATCATGATAATAATTAAAGACGCCTTCCAGTAATTATTCCATCTACAATACATTTATTCTAGAAAATCAACTAGCTCCTTCGTAAATTACACGCTGTAATTCGACCCTCTCATCATGACTGAACAGGAATTTTTTTTGGCGCAACTCCCGCTTGGAGGTTTTTAATTAATACGTACCCCGTCAGGCGAGCCTTACCCGCTCAAATTAATTTTCCACGTGGACGTTATTATTCTAGATCAAATCGGGCAACATGCGAGTAAGTTATTATAAAAATTTATCGGTCCTAAATGACTGGCCCTTTCCGCTCCTTCCGTCGGATTATCGCTTAATTAATTCGTCAGTAGTAATTATCCGAAACGAAATTACATGGCGCAGATGGAATTAATCACTCCGTATAAGGAAGACCTGTTGCTCACCGAATTCCGTCGAGCCCTTAATGTTAAATTGAATTTGTTGTTGATTTACAGGTGGAAAATTGGATCGTAAAGCTTATTTATAATGTTAGTTTTGTTTTAAAATATGATTTAGTTATTGTAATAGAATTGTTCTTGCTCTTGCGAGTGATATTTTTTGGAAAGGTTAGAGTTAGAGGGTGGTGAAATGTGAAAGTTCAACGACAACGCGAACAAAAGATATATCGCCGGAGAGAAGGGCATGTAGTTAAGCAATTGAATTGTGAGCGTGAAACAATTAGAGAACCACCTGTGAATTATCTCTCCCACATAGAGCCTCTTACATAACATCGGGGAATGTTTCAGGGAGGGACATAAACTTGTACGACTGACAGACGGTGATGTTCACGCCCACTCTGCATACCGAATACTCGTACCATTCTAACAGATATTTTATGTAAATGTCAACGTCCCAGACAGAAGTATCGGGTTTTTAATAAGCGAATTAAATTTTTTATCATTTTTACAACTGACCGATTCCGGAGCTCCGGAGCCCGGCTCGGCTCGACGCCCACCGTGTTCGTTTCGGGCGTTGAAATCACTCGGTGAAGAGATACCCGTTGATGCCGAGTTTTTTATGCATCCTTCGCTCGCGCTGATAACGAATACTTTTAGTTTTTTGTAAGGTTGTCGGTTATCTACGAATACAATGGCATGGAATGAATGCCTTCGAACGTGAGTGTGAAACCGAAACGGATAGAGTTATCTGGTTTTTTGATGTTTGGAGTAAAAACTTCATAAATTCTATAGAGAATTAGGTAAAGAGGTATGCATGAAATGTTAAATAACTTTTTAGTTATTCTTGGAAATGTTTGCACCAAATTTGAGACTTATATCTGGTACAAAAAACTGCCTTTACGATCCTCCAAGGACTCTCTCATTTCCTTCACTTCCTGCACCAGCAAGACAGGTTGGTTCCCATTCAAAAGTAGAGGTATCTCTGCGTCTATTTATGGTTTCTAATTACCTTTATGGTGAATGAGAAACACTCGTGAACCTTATACTTTCATCATTATCGTCGGATATCTTGTAAAAAACGGGTTTTAATGGTTGTGCATTTTTATCACGATACGATTCGGCGTGTTATTCGAGATGTTCTTATGTAAATTTCGTATGATTATCATAAAAAATTTATCGAATTTTTTCCACTAACGAAATTGTCTTCGTCGACTAACTGAAATATTGTTCTGTTTAATTTAGATGGAAATTTGGTTTACGAAATGATTTAGTCACTTGATAGATTCAAATAAGACCAAAGGTTTTTAATTTCGTCTCTAATAATTGCATAAAAAACCATAACATTCTTCTAGAAGAATTTGTTATAGATAAAAATTCTAAATTCCCTTTTGTTTCAGATACATCCACAGCAAAGAAAAGCCCTTCAAGTGCACGGAATGCGGCAAGGGATTCTGCCAATCTCGAACGTTGGCGGTGCACAAGATCCTCCACATGGAGGAGTCGCCGCACAAGTGCCCCGTGTGCAATCGGTCCTTCAACCAGCGATCTAACCTGAAAACCCACCTACTCACCCATACGGACATAAAACCGTACAATTGTTCGACGTGCGGAAAAGTGTTCCGCAGAAACTGTGATCTCAGACGGCATAGCCTCACGCACAATTTGGGCGCTAGCTCATCGAGCTCGACGCCGCCCAATCAGAACTTTAGTATAGACTCGTTGATTAGTTCGACTGTGAAGAAAATCGGTAAATGATATTGGTTTTGTTTAATGATAGGTGTAGTTTTTAGGAGACTCTTCTCTCAGAGCGGATTGTGTGAAAATAAATTTTTAATGAATGTTGATGTTTTGTTTTACTGCAAACAAGAATCTACTCTACCTGTCTAATAAGAGTATTTGTAACTCATTAGGCCGTAGTAAATAAAACGTAACCTTTTGCTACAAAAAATGAAGGAATTGCTTCAAGGTATATGTATAAAATGAAGTGAAGGAAGAGAGGTTTTGCTTCGAAGACCCTGCTGTTGCTTTAAAGCAAAAGATTTTATGATTTTAAAACCTTTGTTTAAGGTTTTAAAACCTTTTTCTCTTATCTTTTGCTTCTACCTTTTACCTTAAACTAAATGCTTCCTTTTTTATAAATATGGACTAATATACCTACCCAAAATACAGAACAAATCAAATCTCTCAAATTTAGAATGTTTAAAATTATTGTTTGTGTCTATTAAACTTGATAAATGCAGCCCGAGCGACAATTTCTGTGACGCTGGTAAGTGTTTCGACATTTTTAGTATCTATTATAAGGCGTTTACCGGAATTTTATTGCGAAAAAACCAATTTTGTATAGGTAGTCAACTACAAAATCGTTTATTTTTAACCAACTATCGAATGCTAAACTACCGACTTGGTTGTAAATCTAAACTGCGAGTCGATTTTATTTAAATGCCTTTCAGTTAAATAACTATTAAGTTATACAAATGTTACTACTATAATAAAATTTGCATTCGTCCATACTATAAACTAACGTGCCTACCAATATAATTTATGTGTTTATCAATTTATGCGAAGTTATTAAGTTATAATGTTATTCTGATAATTTCTACATTTGTATTCCATACGAAATCGTAATGTGTTTATATCAAGGAGTCTTTTTATTCACATCATACTCCGTGCTCTATATACCTAGTGAACCAAAAAACATTATAAATCTATATTATCTGCTCTTATTTTACCTAGTTACTGCTTACAAATAGCATTATCTTTTTAGCAAAAAATAACGTATTTAGTGTTCTTTAGTTTAAAAATACATAGATTAAAGTATTATATTGTCTCTTCAAAGAGTTTAGCTTATCACATGAGTGAGCTTGAAGCACATTTAGCCCATGAGTGGTATATATTGCTTTGCAATTAAAATTAATAAAAAATGGTAATAAATAAAAGGGAAATATACAAGAAATGAAAGTTAAGTATCATATAAACGTGAGTGCAGCCGGCATTTGAAAAAGTCAAGGCAGTCAGCTCGACCGGCGGCGGCGGTGTAAAGTACCCAATAAGTAAATCGGAATTGGAAAAAAGAAGGCTCCGAAGACATTTAAGCGAGTCTGGTTCCCCCATATAGCTCGCAGCACGCCGGGGCTGCCGTGGAGCTTAATTCTGTTAAAAAAAGCGCGTCTGCGAGAGCAAAAGGGGGGTGCATATACCGTGCATGTATATACAGGTAACCTCCGCAAAGTGCGCACCATGGCTACTTGAGAATAAATCACCACTGCACGATCTCTAATGAAAAATACGCCCGAGTGTTAGTTTCACGGCAAAATCTCCCGCCAGGAGGGTAATAAGGTCCGTAGGGGGGCGCTCAGTTCGCTACCTACATCCATCAATAACGATTACCAAATATTAATGCGTTTAACGCAAAAACAATAGTCATGCCCGATTTTCATTTGTTAAACTAGAACTGACAGATCGTTATTGGTATCCCGGACTTTGTTAAATAAATATTCGTTTCTTGCCTTTTATCATTAATAACGATTCACAGACAACAACTTTTCATTCTCATCTTCAACTACTTTTACAACATTATATGTATCATTTCATATGGCATCCACAATTTTATATTCACTTTTATTCTTCTTTAATCACTCCCTGCTTTAATTGTACCTACGACTACATATGTGTAAGTAAATACCTACTTCAAATTTTCTGTAAGTCACACTCCTACTCATACGACACTCATTGTTATTTCTTGCTCGTGTATTAATAGCTATCATAACGTGCTCGTACTAATGAAGCTACGAGTAGACGGCCTCCACTCTGATACTTTTTAAATAATTAAACATTATAATGAAAAAATTCCAACGCGTTAATTTTCATCGTCCTACGGCTCGCGCTCCGGATTTTAACAAATCCTCACATTCTAATTAAAACGTTGATAAATCAGCCGATATCTTCCAATAAGGCTCGCCTTGCGCCCGTACGAAACTACCTATTTGTAAAACAATCAATCCCGGCTAATGATCGGAAAAAGTAATTTTGTGGAAGAGATGAGGTGATTATTCCCTATCAATCAGTGTAGAACGCGTGGGGGTGAGTTGGAAAATTCTGTTAAAATCTTGCCAGGGAAATTTCTCTTTTCGGGGAAATTGCTAATTTAATACAAAGTTACCATAATTCCCATAAATTTAGTGCGCTTAAATTTATGATTGTTTAATCTAGACGAAGAAAAAATGTTAATACTTCCCATAATACGCTTATTTGACTCATTACCCTTTATACAAATCTCTAATAATATTTTATCTGTTAAAACTTTTATTAAAAATCCACCAAACATTACTATGTGCGTTAGGTGTTCGATCCGAAATTTCGTCCTAATTTTTTATGCATTCACGAGGCGTTCCCTAAGCCACCGGTTAATTACACGGTGAAACCCCGAAACGATTTCCACTCATCGATCTGACAGTTGTGCGCCTCCGGGACCGTTTTAGAACCGCATTATGGGTCCATTAAAGGGTCCACGGAGCGGAGGGAACCTGCTGATGATTATCCTCAATTATCGCTCATCGAATTCGAAGAATTTTCATTTACCTAACCACAAATTTCGCCCGAGAAGGGCGGGTGGATGAGCGCACAGCTCGGCCTGTTCTTGTGGATACAGAAGGAAGCTTCGAAGGGTCAATTTTTTACATTCTCTTCAAGAAGTAAGTTGTTTTTTCGAGAGAATATTGGGCTCTCAGAAAAATAAAAATTTCACAAATAGTTGACTCTTTAATTGCAGTGGGTATACACGAAAGTTAACCGACTTGAAAAAAGAATTAAATTAGAAAATGATCGTTTCACGCTCGAAAAGCCCGTGTGCCTACAGGCGCCTGCTATTTAACATAAATAATCCGTGGAACCACACAAAAACCAGATTAGTTTCTTTTAATTTCGACTCGGAGGAATCTGGACGAAAAACATACATATCATAACTGAATTCAAATTTTAATTAAGTAAAGAATTTAGCCGGTCACCCTCGTCTCGGTGTTTTATAAACCCCGATTCAAATGCTAATCGAAGCATGGGCATTCCGGGTAAAATTTAACCGGGTAACTAAAAATATTTTTCTTATTCTCTAATGCACTGTAATGATTTAAAGTTTGGGTAGTATCTAATTTTGTAGTCCTTTTTGAAGCAATATTTTTAGGTTGCGTTTGAAACTCATCAAAAGTGATGAATTATTGATCGTTCATCATCTGTAAAGCAGGATAGGGATACTAGTTCATTATTTTTGCTGGGTGTTTGTGCATCAAATTGATATTTATCTCAATTTCTTTTTACCTATGAAGAATTCTTTCTATATCGTAGAGAATATTTTTTACGCACTCGTGCATATTTTACCCTGTTCTTCTTCGTGTTACTCCTCTGGTATTCATCGAAACGATAACTCCATAACTACTTTAATTACGCTGCGGCTGGGCCACTAGGTTTCTTAAAATACGACAAAAAAATGACGTTTATACAATTCATTAGAAACGGTATGGTAATTTCGGTCGTCATAAACATACCGAAAATGGCTCCACTGACAGATACGCAGGTATCCGGAAATAAAAATGTAGATGAGCGCATAAATTAACCCGTAAAGTTTAAATGGAATAAACGTCCGGGAGGTAGAGCGAATATGCAGCGCCCGAAATTAACAAACTCCGCTAAGATTTCAGTTTGTTGCAGAAATTATTATACGGGTTTCATAATGTATTGTTAATTATTTATCTGATAAAAAATATTATGGATTCCAGTTTATCCGTACTTATACATGTATCACTACATATGAAACAAAAAGAGGTTATATTTTACATTGGAAAAGTAGATATTAAACTGGTGTAATAATTAAAAAAAAAACAGTATTAGGTAATAGGTAGAAAGAAGTGTTGATTTGTGGTATTTGTTCAAAAGGATAATTTTGTTATAAAAATTCCATTATAAAAGCCCGATGACAAAAGGTTTATTCAGGTATAATGACTAGTATAAAGTTACAGCTTTCAGTAAGCGAATTAACATAAAAAAATAATAACCGACATAAAGGATGAAAGGAGGCATTTAAAGGCCCCGTCCATAAATAATACACATTTCATTAAAAGTGTCATTTTTACAAAGTGGCGCTTTTGTTCCTTTTGTGTGGCGTCACGAAAACGGCCTTTTGTGCGCAAGGTCCGTTCCCACAAAAAACGGTGAAATGCGTTTTTGTGAAATTTTCAACATCAGAATCGGGAGCCGCGTCGCACCTGTTATATCACTTTCTAATGGGGGAAATATTTCTTTTATGCAAACCGGTAAATATGTCGGAGTTGATTCGCAGCTGAATAGCCACCGCATAAAAGACCTCAAATAAACACCACTTAAGAAATTTTGAGTTAATTTTCTTACACAATTAAAATTCCTACCATAAAATGTTACTGTGTGAATTGTTGCATTTTTTATAATTAATTTAAATTGTATAAATTATATAAAGTAAATTAATTGAATAATATTTTAATATTTAAAGTAGCATTTAGATAAAATTCTTGGTAGGAGTCGTGCATTTATTAACATAAATACAGAATTTCCAATGTGTTATTCGAGCTTCGAATAAACAAGCCGAAAAAAATACAGATGTTAAATATTGGCTGATATAATATCTGTATAGCGATACAACTGACTGTTATACTAATATAACACCGGGGAGGTGTTTTCCAGTGTTCATGACTAATGTATAATGCGTTTCTGTATAAATATTTCTCGATATAAAATCAAATCACGTATAGAGATGTCCATAAGTTCGCATGTTAACTGGCAATCGCAC